CAAATTGGGGCCACACTTACGCCAAACAGTTTTTTCTGAAAACTCAGGAGACCCCCTAGGTTTGCAGAAAAATCTGAAAAGTTTTTTTTAAAATCGGGGGGGGGGGGTAAATTCCCTCGAATTAAATAAAGCGCAGACAATGCACTTACAGTTGAGCAGAGAACTACTGGAAATCCCAGCTGTGGTAGCGGCAAAGCCTTGGAGCTATAACTACTGGAAATCATTGCTGTGGTGGAGCCTGGGAGCCACTCCAAGCCTGGCTGTGGCAGCAGAGCCTAGGAGATGCTTTGGGCCTGGCCAGGGAGGTGGCAGAGGCTGGGAGCTGCCACCAGGCCTGACCGTGGTGGAGCATGGAAGCTGTTCTGAGCCTGGCTGTGGCAGTGGAGCCCCGGAGATACTCCGAGCCCTGCCACAGTGAAACCTGGGAGCCAGTCAGAGCCCAGTCGCCACCACGGAGCCTTGAAACCACTCCAGGCTTGAAGAAGCTCCATGACACTACTGCCGCTTAGCCTGGGCTCCAAGGGAGTCATGCCCAATGGTGATGGGTGGGGGAATGGGATCCCCCCTACGAGTTTAGTGGGGGGCACTTTTATATATATTTGAAACCTAGAATTAACTTGGATAGTGTCTATGGGTATTAGAATGTTCCAACTAAATCACCCCAAGGAATAAGCACATTAGCTCTAACCTACTTTAATAAGATGGCCACAGTGTAGTGCTTCATAAGGATTCTGAAGTACAAATTCACCTGTGATGGACAGGTTCGGTTCCGCCTGTCCCTATGAACGAGCAGTGAGAGCTGACAATGTTGGCGAGTGGACAGTTGGAAAACAGCAGTTGAGTAGCTAGGGCGTGAAGAGGTAAACAGTATATCTGATGGAGTGAACCTGAGGTGCAGATCAGCTTAAAGCTAGATGACTAAAAAGAGTCCATTTGTAACACAAGATCTAAGATGCTGGAATAGGGGAACAGTTCAAACATTCAATGGAAGTGAAACATTCTAACCTCTACCTTACTTTCTTTTGTGTTATGTTCAAACGATAAATAAAAGTTAACTTTTTGTTTTGTTTAACCCTGTAGGCTGTGTGCCTCAGGGAAAGAAACACACACAGTAAAAATCTCAGTCTATACATGTTTGAAGATCTGAATAAATGGTAGCAGTGTGTGAATGGAGCAGTGTTTGAGCCCCAGCCCCAATAACTCTGAAGGGTTTGAGTGAGGGCTGTTATAAAAGGGGCCTGGGCTACACTGTCTGCTGATGTCTCTGTGAGTGAGGAGGAGGACCTAAGAGGTGAAATGGTAATAGCTCTCTAGAGCAGGGGTGTCAAACTCATTTGTTATAAGGGCCGGCTCTTACATAAATGGGACTTTGTCAGGCCAGGCCATGTTTGTCATAAAATGTAATACTAGGTAGTGGAGATAAAAGGACATAGACAAACACAATTAAAGAAGCAGCGCAGCACTGGGCTGATGCCCCTGTAGTGCCTGTAGTGGGGAGCAAACCCTTTCCTCAGCCTGCTATCATGGTCAATACTCTGAGCCTAGGATCCAGGGGAAAACATGAAATGGCTGGGCACTGCAAGTTTCCCTCCACCACCACCACCCCCAGTCTACTCAGAGTGATACTGGCTCTCCAGGGTCTCAGGTTGAAGTAGGGTTCCCAAGTACTTACCGCGATCCGGCAGGGGACACATGCTCCCCGACCGGAACATTCCTCCCTGTAACGCACCATGCCATTGCCAGGAAGTGACGCCGGGCGACACTCTGGCAATGGGGCTGATTTGGCAGGGGACACAGACGTCTTCGCAGGATCATTCCCGCGGGGACAACAGACACGGCGCACCATACCGTCGCCAGGAAGTGACGCCGGGCGACGCTCTGGCAATGGGGCTGGAAACTCGAGTATCCAGCCCCATTGCCAAGGCGTCGCCCGGCGTCACTTCCTGGCGACGGCATGGTGCGGCATGTCTGTTGTCCCCGCGGGAATGATCCTGCGAAGACGTCTGTGTCCCCTGCTGAATCACGATAAGTACCTGGGAAGCCTGGGTTGAAGTGTTTCTCATAATAAGCCACAGCCTGGTCCTTTTAACTGGAGGTGCCAGGGACAGACCCACCTGGCTCCTTAGCTCAATGAACATAAGAGAGAAGCCTCCACTAGGAAGCACAATGTTTACGACCAAGCCCCCTCTCCCTCAGCCAGCAAACTTTAGCAAATAATTCTAGCAGACTCACCTGGCTCCTGCCTTTAGCTCAATGAATGCAAGAGAAAAGTCTCCACTGGGAAACACAATGTTTGCAACCAAGCCTCCTTCCCCTCAGCCAGCAAACTTCAGCAAATAACTCTAGCAGACCCACCAGGCTCCTTAGCTCAATGAACACAAGAGAAAAGCCTCCACAGGAAGCACAAAATTTGCAACCAAGCTCCCTCCCCCTCAGTCAGAAAACTTCAGCAAATAAACAACTCTAGCAGACCCATGTGGGCACAGGAGAAGCCAGCAAAGATGAGAGAAGTTTGGCATCCCCACCCTCTGCTCTCTGCATTTAGAGGCAGCTTGGAAGGGTGAGGACAGGCAGAGACAGATGTGGGGCGGCGGTGGTGAGAGAAGAGAACCGTGGGCTAGATTAAAGGCCTGGGCAGGTCAATTTTGGCCCACGGGCCATATGTTTGACACCCTACTCTAGAGATTTTAAAGCAGACAAGAAGGGTAGTGACTGCGAGTGTGACAGCCTCACCTACTGGTAACTGTAAACCTGATAGAAAGGTGTAGAGGGGTGGTACACAGTCTGTATGAGTGGAAAGGAGTGTTGCATCATCTTTTCAGTTATTAATACACTTTAAAGCACATTTTGTTAGGAATTCTGAAAAATACTGAACAAAAAAAATCTGTCCAAAACCTTTACAGGTACTGTTAGAGACCAGAGCACACCTGTACTCTCAGGAGACTATGGTGAACTCATATACAGAGTTGCTCCAGCTTGAGCCTGTTGAAATCATTGGATTTTTCCCTGACCTGGATAGCCCAGGCAAGCCCAATCTTGTCAGATCTCAGAAGCTAAGCGGGGTCGACTCTGGCAAATACTTGGATGGGAGATCTCCTTGGAATACCAGAGGCAAGAAGTGGGGGCAGGCTGTATTCAGCCACCTCTCTGAATAGCCTCCAGGCTCCCAGTAGGGGTCAGTCACCAGAGTTCGCCATGACTTCCAGGTGTGCGCACGCACACACACACATATAAAAATACCAAAAAAATCAGTGGATTTAGAGTAATTCTGCATAAGATTGCATTGTATGTTTTCTGTGCATGTGGAAACTCAGGAGTTAAAATATGCTAACACTTTATAAACTCAATGAAACCACAAACAATCATAAACTGTATGGCACAATCTAGCCAAAGCCTAGCATTTGTAAATCCCACTGATTTGAATTAAAGAAAGTATTGTGAACACAAGTATGGCATACCAGAAGCTATTTATTGTTCCACACAGCCACCTTACCTGTAGCTTAAGTACTACATAGCTAGGATAGGATTAGTCACTTATTTGAGTCATACACTTTAAAGCCTATGGCTTGGACCCCATTATAAATGTCCATTGACAGAAGGGATCTTCATCAGCGGATTGCGACTATTTTGCCTCTCCCTTTCACTGCAAATCAAAACGCTCTCCAAAATGGTGCTCCTCAAGGACAAATTTCCTCATGAACAGGAGAGTCAGAGGTTTGGACAGGGTAGGGAAATCAGAAAAAATCATCCCTCCCCCACCCTTCGTGGAAATTTTCTGTAGGACCCAACCCTGTCTTTGGTAGATGGGTAATTTCTCCTCTTGGGCCTGAAGGTTACGGACCTGAAAATGTTCCTATCCTTTTATGAAACCTCACCAAGAGTTTCCTCCTCCTGGTCCTTGAGCTAACTGCTACTGCTTCAGTAACTTTTCATGTGGTAATAACCTGATAGCCAGCCCTCTCAAGAACCAGTGTGTAGTCTGTTCTTCGTAAATATATAAATGCATACCAGATAACTGTTTCCATGTCAAACTACATTTCTTGTGTATGTGAAGAATGCCCAGTTTGACATGGAAACAGCTACCTGGTATGAATTTATATATTTATGAAGAACAGACTACACACTGGTTCTTGAGAAAGATGGTTCTTCTCAGATTATTAGCACGTAAAAGGGTTATTTAAGCAGTAGAAGGTGGCTCAAGAACAAGAAACAGGAAATTCTTGATGGGGTTTCATGAAATGACAGGAACTTGGATTTGACAGGGTCTACCTGACCCTCCTAAAATCAAAGTCCAAATCCTTGTTTGCATAACTTTGTTCTAACAAGAGAGATACAGGTAAGACTTTTTGGTATGATCGTGTCATTTGATTGAGCATTCATGGAAACTTCCAAGTACCCACTGGAACACAGGAGATACTTACCTCTTGTGATTGCTGAACAAGATTAAGGACCAGTTCTGCACATGAGTCTCTAAATTCCAACCCAAATAAGAATTTTGGCCTGCTCTTCAACATTATATTACATCAGGCTTAAAGAATGTTTAATTAGGTCCAAGCTACATGTGATGTTTCGCTGCATGTGATTTTTTTTCTGACATTTTAGAAAACCAAATGTCATATGAGAAAGCCATTTTCCCTTCGTTGTTTTCCCCCTCCAATTAGAAATACACTGCCCAAACTTATTTTCCCCTCTGTGATAGTAACAGATATAGACACCCACAATAGGATAGGTTTATGAACCCTTCCCTTCCCCTGTGCAAGTTTTCTGCTCCAGATGCAGCAGAGAAATACTGCCTTAAAATTCAGCTTCATATATGTGAATATATGTTTCTCTGATATTTTTGATCACACACATCTATGCTTAGAATTGGCACTATCAAATTAACTTCTTTCAATCTTCTGCTCTTGCTTGGAAAACCAGGACATTGGTTCTTCTCTCAAATCTTGGCTAACCTGCTTGTGCCATTCTACTATAATACTTACAGGGCATTTGAGGGTTGGTCTAGAGTAGTATACATTCATACACAGGCTGGTGACAGCATTCCCCCAAGACTGGAGGGTTACCTGGGCACCCACATTTTTTCCTTTTGTGAATCAGAGTCTGAAGTAGGAGGAGGCCAGCTACCATTCGTAGAATATGTCCCTCCCAAGAACAGAGGATAAAGAAGGGCTTCTGAGTACCACAGTCCTTTTTATTCTATATGCCTAGGAAATCTTTCTGAACACATACTTCAATCTCAGGATCTGTCTACAGCAGACTGGCATATACGAGGCATAACCTCAAAGGAAGGGGGTAATTTAAGGCTCAAAATCACAGAAACAGAGAAGAGTGAAGAAATGTCTCATATAGAAAGAACTGCAGTTCCATGATAATTTCAACACCTCATTGTTAGACAGATGCAGCAGCTTTGTCAATAAACTGAGCCAGCTTGACATCTCGTTTTGTCAGCCCTCCGCAGTCATGGGAAATGAGAGTTATCTGGACCTGTTAACAAGGGAGAAGAAAGAACATTATAATTCTTCAGCAATGTACTCTATAAAGACTGACCAGATCCAGATTCAGTCTGAAACATTTTCTCATGTATTTTGATTTGTATATTTACAAATTGATTTTTTTTTAAAATCCTTTCTGCTGATTGTATTTGGAATGGCATGGCTTTTTCAAATAAAAGTCATCATATAACACAGCTGTCAGGTGAGCAGCCCTGAGAGAACTTGGAGACTAACCAACAAGCACTCCAGCATAGAGCATGGAAAAAATTAGGTTTGGGATTCTTGTGCTTCTTCCAGAAAGAGGTATCCAATTAATTTACTCATTCATTAAAAACAGTTTCAGAAGGAAATCAGGTCACCAACTCAACTGCAATTGCCAAGTTACACAAACCAATCCAGCAATCCAAAGGTAAAGAAACTGGCAATACTTCGTGGATCATTTCTGAAGGGAAGAAACAAATGGATTGGTATGATGAAGCTGCATGCAAAGGATTATTTATACTTCCTCCCTGTGGAATATTGTGTGCAACTTTATGAAATGTTCCTGTTTAGCCAGGAAGCAGAGGTTAGGTGGTGGGTGGAAGGGTAAAATTCAGCCTTTAAGTCTAGATGATCTTTGTCCGTCTTTGAGATAATATTTAAAATGTGCCAGGATAACTAAAATGTGCTTATTTTGCCTGCCTTCTTTCTAGTACTACTGAATATAAATTTCAATGCAAACATAGCAGTTTGTTATTATCAGAAAGTATGCTGTATATATGTGGCCAAACAAGCCACCCTTAGATTTGGTTTAAGATATCTCATAAATATTTAGCTGGAAGTAAACATTTCTCACGACGAAATGTGAAAGGGTTGGAAAACAGTACTCATAATGCACACATCATGAGCCTCTCTTTGTTAAAAGTCTGAGGTTCTTCCTTGTGTCTTGTTTCAAGGTGCTTTCTCACAATTTCCCCCTCATCTAGAAGTGGTTTTTCTTTTTTCTGGTCCCTTTTTTTTAGGAGCCACAGATTGAGAGGTACATTTTGATACTATGATTGCTAAGATTCCTGAGTTCTTCTTGCAAATACTTTTTAACTGGATTAATGATTTGGAAAATGATTCTTGAAATTCTTGACAGTATGCATATTAGATATCTTACTTTTCTCTGCTTTAAATGGGACTCTCATGGAGACAGTTTTTACAGAGGTTTGAAAGAGAGACTGTTGCTCGTGATGTGGAGAGACATCTCATTTTATATCTGGTAAACAAGATTTTGCACTGGAATAAACACGTTCTCTGTGTTTGACCAGAAGCAACAGTGGGACAAAAGAACACGTCCATATGTAACTAGCAGTGATGCCTCCCTTAAGCTACTTTCAGTTATTTAGAACTACTGCTGATCTTCAGCTTCAGGTACTTTGTATGTTTTCCCAAAACATTGCCCGGTCAAGATTTTTATAAATAGGACTTAGCCAACAGGCCCCTGCACTACCTCTCAAGTGTTCTTTCATTCTACCACAGGCATAGATCTGTTTCACTGCTGGAAGGCTGATGGGGTTTTATGAGTGTGACTGAAGGCAGCACATTTTGAAAAAGTGAAAACAAACATGGGATACATCAGAAACAGTAAATTCCAAATTCACATTTACATTTTGTTTTAAAATAAAAGATACATGATTTCCAAAGCTGCTGACACAGTCACTCGCCAGAGTTTCCCAGTTGCCAGTGAAAACCAGTAAATTCTCATCCAGCCCCTTACCTTACTGTACACGTTAAACCACTCAGGGTGATGATTCATCTTTTCAGCTTGCAGAGCAATTCGAGTCATAAAGCCAAAAGCCTGTGTTAGAAAAATATTGTTAAAAGCTTCTACCTTTTTAACTTTTATGATAACTTTGTGATAATTTCTGGGGTTGTTTAATGAGAAATGCAAAAGAAAAAAGGAGGGACTACAGTTATTCAACTGTGCCAGAACAGCAGATTGAAAGAATGTACATTTAGATGCCCCTAAGTGTAAATCTGTGAATAAACTGAAATACTTGTAAAAATTATGGGATAAAGAGAAGTAGTCAAGAATTCATGCTGAAGCTACTGCCCAAGATTCATATGATGTTTGCTCATTGGTCCAACAATCAAACCTCAGCTAGGCATTCCATATTTTGCAGTAACAACAAGAATTTCTAAAATACATTTCAAATGTTTAAACTCCTTCACATACATTACATAGTGATCCTTACAAAAGTTCTAAAAGATAGGTCAGTATTGTCCCCACACTGCAGATGGGATACAGAGAGGCAGAGCGCTGTCACTTGGTTTAAGGTCATGGCTGATGTAACACATTAGATTAAGAGACTTCCCAATAGCAAACTCACTCTTAACTGCTCTGATTTGCGCGGCACAAACAAGTGTTTCACTGTACATATATACACAGTACATCAGCAATCAACACTCTACACATATAGTGTAATTCTATAACTGGACTTCCAATGCCAAGGCCGAAACTCTGCACAAGATCAAGAACTTAATTGAAATATTGTTTTTAAAAGAAAAAAGTCCATCATGCACCAAACACTTTTTCTGAAATAGCAGTTTTCTCATTATGAAAGAGTCTTTGTAGACCCGTTCCATCTTACCACAGCAATTTCAAGCAATTTTTTTTAAAAAAAAGCACAATGGTTACTAATAGTTCCAAGTACCTTTCCCCCCCCCCATCACATTTTGAAAGCACTGGTGACTGGATGAAGTATGATTTTGTAACCTCCAGTCAGATGAATGCAGTCATTACAATCAGGACAAATTATTCCAATGAAATTTCTCATTTACAAATCACCAAACTGTCGGTAATTGAGATGTTTATGGCGTTGACACATACACATTCCAATACTGAGATGTGTCTTCCCAGAATGCTTCTTTGTTTAGCAGCCTGGTCCTATCTACATTTATGTGGAAGTGAGCCCGAAAGATCCTTTGGGCCTGGATTTCAAGTAGGTTATATAGGATAAGAGCACTGATTTCATTTGCAACCATGCTTCCAAATTTTGAAAAAAAAAAAAAAAGGGCAGTTAAATGTCAGCAATGGTATACATGCAAGACCTTCATGGTTAGCCTCACATTTATATAACTGTTGATAGCTTTAAAACATGCATTTTATGTAAACATTTCAACTTAAAATGTTTAGAGTATCTACTGCCTTAACATCAGTTTCTTAAAACGGAAACATACAATGGTTTTAATTTTCTGCACTCATACTTGCAAATGTATTTTACTTATTTATGAGTAAACATGCATAGAACTGAGCTGTAACTTACACAAATAATTCCCCTTTCTTAAATAATCCATAATATACTTGTGTAGTTGTATATGGCCTTTCTTCTGACTAATGGTTGGAAAGAAGTTTTTACAATCCTATACAAATCAATACCTATAACTGCTGAAAACTAAAGCAGACAAAAATGGGTATTTTGAGAGAGAAAATGTATTAAAAATCAGTCTTGCCTGTTACAGTTGCAAAAATAAGATCTCCATACTCAACACAAAAATAGCATTTGAGACACCACACTATTATCTGCCCATACAAAAAGCTGAAAGATTTACCTTTCCATTGAATATTTTGCTCCAGATATATTTCTGCAATGATTTACAGAAAACCCTCAATTACATGCATTTTTTGCAACTTTGAAATATTTTATAACTCATATTTTATAACTCAGCTTACTTACAGCTGAGCCCAGGTCTCTGCACAAACATCTCTTCCATCAAGTCTTATAATTAATGGTTACTTAGACATTCCTTACTTTTTTAGATAATTCAGAGGTGACAAAATTACCAGTAATCTCCAAGTGACTCACTTATCTTGTTCCTGGTTCTCCCACACCACGCTTCACCAGTGACAGGTCACCTTGGACACTGTCCTTGTATCTGGTCCACGAAAGTTTATCCTAGAATAAGTTGTGTTAGTCTTTAAAGTGCTACTCCTCCTTAATTTTGCTATAATAGACTAACATGGCTACTCCTCTAGAATCACACTGGTTGTGAAAATGAAAATCTCAATGTGAAAACACACTTTTTTCTCCCACTGTCTCAAAGGCAGCCAAAGTCATTACCAAGAAGTAACACAGAGAATATGTATAGTTCAGGAAAAGTTAAACATACTCATCTCATTGATTTTAGTAGGCTTAAGCATACTTAACTTTCTTTGTAATGGGCCTCACATCCACAATGTTTGGTTCCTAAAAGCAAGGAGGATTAGCCCACATTTCAGCACCTTAAAGATATTTATTGATGCAGAGTGAATCCCTACAAATAAACATGGTATTTATCTAGTGTTTGCTTACTCTGCTACTCATGAAAGCTGGCTGAAGGTAGAATCCAGACAGGCACTGAGGAAAATGTTGCTTTGGCCGTGGCTATTACTGGAACATGAGGGAAATGGGGGCATGGAAAGTTTTCCTCAACACATGGCTAGATGCTATATATGGCCCATTTCCTATAATGTTACATGCAGACTAGGATAAATAATGTGAGGATAAATGGGAGTTTGTAGCTAGTCAGTGAGAATTGTTATGCTACTACAATACTGCACACAGTCAAAAGAAAGTTAAGTATGCTGAAGTCCCATAGAAACCAATGTGTATTATGGCTCATCTTGTCACCAAGGAAAAATTTAGACAGCATCTCAGCATTCAAAGGCCTGGGTTCTATGGCCAGTCTCTATGAATGGAAGGGATTTCTATCAGTGGAATGGGACTTCCTTATTGCCCCCACTCCACCCCTCACAGTGCAGCTCAAAATATTCCCCAAAAATGCTGCTTCCCAGGGTACAGGGGACTCTCAGCAACAGCATAAGTTACAAACTGGAGGTCTGTAGTGGGAGACAGGAAACAGCAAAAATTATCCTTCCTTCCTTTAATGGATGTTTACTGTAAGATTTATTTATATATTTATTTATTTATACTTTCGATTTCTTATACCGCTCTAATCCCGAAGGTTCTCTGAGCGGTTTACATTGCAAATTACCAATTCTAACTAGGGCCACATAGTATTGGGGGGAGGTGAATACCTATCAGGCACCCTGCCGGTTCTTTGTCGATCTCCCAGCGGATCTTCTCTCCTTTGATTCTGCACAATAGGTGTCTTTTTTGGCTTGGCTCCGCAGCGGCTCCTTCCGGGCAGTTCCGTTGCTCTGCGACTGTGCGATTCAAGACAAATAATATAGGACAACAATACAGCCTTGCTAAAGCTGAGCAGGGTTGGATCTTGTGAGTGCCTGCAAGGGAGATCTCCTGGGAACCCTAAGTAAGTTCCCTTGGGTTCCAAGGTAGGGTAGAAATTGAATTTTTAAATTACCAATGATCTGTGTTTAAAAAGCTTCACTCATATAGTGTGAAATACTGTTCACATCAGGTTTATCTATACATCTAAAAATCAAGCATCTTAGTTACAGTTCATTTTACACATGCACAGCCATCTCCCTATTTCATATAGTTTCCAACATGAAAATGAGGAGGTCTGCTGAAGTAATTTCACCGGAGCAATCTCCATTAAGCCCTCTAAATACTTCCCTTGCTAATTAAATGAAATTAGAACTTTATTGTTTATGGATCACCTTTTCTATCTGTAGGCCTGTAACCTTCCTTTTATAAAATACAATTGGCAGTAGAGGGAAAGGCTATTTAGGATTGATTATATATGAAAACATTATTACATAATCGGTTTGGACATTTCTTCACGTCTTGAAACATGATCAGTAATTGGGTGTAATTGGTGATCAAGGAAACTATCTGGTGATCAATTAAAGTAATTACCAGATTCCGGCAACACAACCAATCTTAATTTGAGCTGGAGTCTGCACTTCTTCAACTTTAATTTAAAATAATGAATATTATTAAGCAGTCTGCACGCCAAGATCACGGTCAAGCATATGTGATATGGCAGTAGTGTCAGATTAGTTTTGGTGGGTTTTGTTTACCAGAAAGCCAAACACTTCATGTTGGAAAGTGTTTTGTTTATTCTGAAAAAATCCCCACCATGGCCTTGACCTTTATACCAGCATTGCAAACATTCTAGTTTACCACAATGAGAATAGTTCAGCATCCTAATGTGCAAAGAGAATAAGGGAGTCAGGGATTTTTTACAACCATATAACAGCATTTAAAAGCAACTCAATAGAAAACAGAAACCAGCAACCATTGCCAAAGTAAATCAGCCAGTTTAGGGGTTTCTCTCTGTCCACGAGGCTTCTTAACACTCTGATCAAAACAAAGCCAACACAGACACAAAGCTGAACAATCTGACTGTAACCACGTTCATCTCAAATGGTGGGCCAAAGAGAAGGAAGCATACAGACTGTGTGAGCCCTACGGCATCTTTGAAAGAAACAAAAATGCCATTAAAATGGGGTGGCTACTGATTCCTACTATAAGGTGATCTTCAGAGCAAGCAATTACAAAGAGAAAGAAAGGGTTGGAGGCAGGATTCCCGCTGCCTATCCAAGCAACATACACGAGTTAAGAGGAAATAGGGAGAGACATTGGTCTCTCAGGAATAGTGTATGGCTCAATAGAGAAACCACCACCACATATGTTCAGAAATGACTGTTCTATACAGAACGTGATGTCTTGATCTTCTCCATCCTGTTTGCTGAGAATTTCTTGGTACCCTCAATACTATCAAACTGGTATTTTTAGCAGCATAATTACAGCAGATACACAAACACAATCTTGGTTTATTTTATTATAATAGAGTAATTCTGACAGGGCAGCAAGTGGTGCATTTACCTACCCACTCTTTCAAGACAAGCATATGCTAAATTAGAGGGTTTTTTTTAAAAAGTCCTTTCAT